TTCGAGACAGGGTTTCTCTGTGTAGCTTTGGAGCCAGTCCTGGAACTCACTCTGTAGACCAGGCTGGCCTCGAACTCACAGAGATCCTCCTGCCTTTGCCTCCCAAGTGCTGGGACTAAAGGCATGCACCACCACCGCCCGGCTATTACTATTATTTTTAATTGTGTGAATGTGTGTGTTTTAGTGTGTAGGTGTGTGCACTTGAGTGCAGGTGCCCGAGGAAGTCAAAACGTTGGGTCCCCTGGAGCTGGAGTTACAAGCAGTTGTGAGCCAGCCAACACTGGTTCTGGGCACCAAACATGGGTCCTCTGCAAGAATAATACGTGCTCTTAGCCACTATCTCTCCAGCCCCAGGAACTGTAAGTTTTAAAAGGCCATGACTCACCAAGATGACTACCAGCTTTGCTCTGAAGGCCACTGACCACCGGCCCTTGCTCTCCTCACTTTCTGGTCCCACCCTCAACCCCAGTGAAATATCTTGGCGTGTTTGTTTTTTTCTGAGCTTGCCCCTCCTACTTTATCTCCTGACCAACAGCCTACAGCCATTCAGTTCCACCAGACAGAAGCCTCTCAACTCAATTCCTAGTTTACATACAGGCCAGAGCCAATCAGGCTCATGCCCTGGGCAGAAAAGGACACAGGCAAGAAGGCTTGGCTAGCAATTCACTCTTGAGCCCCCTTGCAGGTTACAGGGAGCTGCTTCCCACCGTCATTAAAACTCGCTCTCACTCTACTATCCTTCCTGGCCATTCTTCAGAATGAGACAATAAACCCGGATGCAATGGGCTGAGAAGGGTGAGTTTCAGGCACGCTAAGTTTTCCATTTTCCATGCTAGCTAAGGCCACCTGAGAAATAGGTTCTGTCACTTCAAAGAACCCTGCAACAACAGCATGCATGAGGGCCTAGGCTTAGTGCCCAGTAGCACACATAAGTGTACACACACACACACCACACGCACACGCACACGCACACGCACACGCACAAGCTGGGAGTCCTAGGTAGCACTTCTCTTTAACCCCAGCTCTTGAGAGGCCAACGTAGGCATAGCTCTGAGTTTGAGGCCAGCCTGGTCTACATAGAGAGTTTCAGGCTAGCCACACAGTGAGAAACTGTCTCAACAAAAGCAAACAAAACCAAACACCAAGAAATTCACTGAAGGAGTGAGCAGTAACTCTGCCAGGCCCCCTGCTGGCAGCTGGATGGGTTGGAGACCAGTCTGCTAGCCTCACAGGAAGCCAGTGTTCAGAGGGGCTTTCCTTAAGAACTAGGGTGGAGGTGTGTGTGTGGGGGGGGGGGCACGCTCTGCTTAGAGTCCCAGGTTTGGTTTTCAAGGAGCCATATTTAAGATACCACCTGCTATCCCCACTTTTATCCTCAAAAATGGGTTAGTTAAGATTTAATGCAGGGCCGGTGGCACCTGCGTGCTCAGTGACCTTTCCTAGTGGATTCTGTTGTGGCCTGTGGCCTTGGTCTTGCTGAGATGCTTTGAAGTCTTATTAAGAATGTCTGGGTCCCCATGAAACCCTACTATACCCAGGTTTACCAGGAAAGTGGGGTAGGGATGGGGTTAATGACCTTCATCGTTTATAAAATCAGGAGTACTGATAAAAGAAGTAAAGCTTTGAAAGGCTCCAGTCCTGCACCTGCCCACGGCCATCATTAACCGCTCCCTGAGTCCACTCACGATGAATCCTGTCGGCTAAACTTAAGCAAGCTGTGTTAGATGGGAACATGGAACACCGCTGTGCACTTACCTAAGTACCATTTACAACGAGGCATTAATAAATGTATGAGGGCAGCACCGCTCCCTGCAGACACTCCCCTCTGCTTCCCCTGAATAAGTCCTCTGTAGTGCGGCAGGCTCCATCAGAACCTCTGAACCACCCTCCGTAGGAAACCTGAGGAATGAGCAGCAGTGTGTGCTGCATAAAGATTGGTCATTGGTGTCTACATACAAACTGATTCCAATATTCTTTTTTTTTGTTTGTTTGTTTTTGTTTTGTTTTGTTTTGAGACAGGGTGTCTCTATGTAGTTTTGAGCCTTTCCTGGAACTCACTTGGTAGCCCAGGCTGGCCTCGAACTCACAGAGATCCGCCTAGTTCTGCCTCCCGAGTGCTGGGATTAAAGGCGTGTGCCACCACCGCCCGGCGATTCCAATATTCTATAATTGTTCGTTAAACAGTTTTGTCTCTGCCTAGCATCTTGCTTCTCTGATCTTGTTTTCATATTTTGGGAAAGAAGATGTTAATTATCTTAAGGGCTAACGTAAATTTTTTATGAGGGTCAATAAGAAGGTAAGGGGAAAACAAAACATTAAATTGTGAAATGCTGAAATAAGAGCATAAAACAAGCTTGATGGCACACCACTAATCCCAACCAGAAGAGGGAGGATCACAAGTTCTGGAGTTCAAAGCCATGGTGAGCTACTGAAACCCTGTCTCAAAAAAGTGCTTAAAAAGTAAATGGAGCCGGGCGGTGGTGGTGTACGCCTTTAATCCCAGCACTCGGGAGGCGAGGCAGGTGGATCTCTGTGAGTTCGAGGCCAGCCTGGTCTACAGCGCGAGATCCAGAGAAACCCTGTCTCGAAAAACCAAAAAAAAAAAATGGAAAGGAGCTGGAAGGATGGTCCACATCAAGCAGCTTACACATACTTGCTGACTCCGGCTCCAGTGGATCCAGCACCCGATTTCTCTTTGGGCATCCGTATACATATAACATGCATACATACCCATTAATAAATATTACAATGGAAAGAAAAAAAATAATTTAAGGCAAGGCTGGAGAGATGGCTCTTGCACAGGACCCAGGTTTGGTTCCCAGCACCCACCCACATGAGGGTTCATAACCATCTGTAACCCCAGTTCCAGGGGATTCAAAAACCCTCTTCTGACATCCCTGGCACCAGACATGCATGCAGTGCACATACATACATGCAGGCAGAACATGCACACACACAAAAAATAAACTTGTTTGTTTTGGTTTTTCAAGACAGTGTTTCTCTGTGTAGCCTTGGCTGTCCTGGAACTCAGTCTATAGACCAGGCTGGCCTTGAACTCACAGAGATCCACCTGCCTCTGCCTCCTGAGTACTGGGATTAAGGTGTTTGTGCTACTACACTCAGTTTAAAATAAATAAGTCTTTTTAAAAAATTAAATAAACCAGGTGTGGTGTCGCACACCTTTAATCCCAGTGTATGAGAGGCAGAGGCAAATGGATCTCTGTGAGTTCGAGGTCAGCCTGGTCTACAGAGTGAATTTCAGGACAGCCACGGCTACATAGTGTGATCCTGTCTTGAAAAAAACAGAACTAATAATAATAATAATAATAATAATAATAATAATAATAATAATAAATGAAATAAATAACTTATCAGACAAACACGGTGGCCCAGGCCTGTGATCCCAGGACCTGGAAGTGGATGGAATTTAAGGCCTGTAGGCATCAAGGTTAACCAGGAGGTCACCTGTCAAAAGGACTGTTGTTGGTTGGTTAACTTTTGGCTTCAGGTTTCTGGGTGTGGCTGTTGACTTTTGTCCAAATCACCTGTATAACTACAGGAAACTTGACCCTTCTGAGAGCAGGCATTCCTGCCTGGTTCCTCAGGGAACACTCAAGGCAGTATCAAGGCTTCCCTGGGCTTTCTAGATTCCTTGGGAGTTCTGAGGGAGGAGATGAGGCTGACATACAGAGCCATCAGACCCAGGTGCAAATTCTGGCCCAACAACTGAGTTGCAATGAAGTCTTGGGAAAATCAGACCAAAACTCCCTTCATCTTCTGCTCCTGCTGCCCTCCCCCACCCCCAACCAGCCACCTTAATTAAAAAAAAAAAGAAAAGAAAAAAAGAAAAGAATAAAGTCCAGGACCCACGACTCAGGTTTGGCTAGAAGGCCAGATTCTGCTGCAGCAGGCTGTGGGCTCAAGACCAGCTACCTCCAGCATCTCCACAGCCAAGGGGTTCTATGGCAAAGCCTAGACTCTGTGGCTATGTGTTATTTCTAAGGGTCTTTTGTGGTTACAGCTCCAAATAGCTTTTCGTTCCTCATCTAAACTTCCTGAACTTCAGAGAGGCCCAGATATAAATTATAGCACAGTTTGAGTGTCTTTAATCTGGCCTGACACTCTTGTATCCATCGTGTGTGTAACCAGAGGGGGCTCTTAGTAAACTTAGGTAAACAGAGAATTGAAGAAGGCTTCTGGATGTTGGACACCTGCCCCATGTTTATGCTGGAGCAGGGTATCCTGAACATCTACATTGACTGGACCACCAAGGAATGGGCCTTCAGGAACTAAATAAACTGGAGATGCTGTTGACTCTAAAGAAATGCAGGATTTGAGAATGACTGAAACGGCCTCGACTGGAAGACTGTCCAACAGTTGCTTGAGAAAGCACTAGCAGCTAAGACAGGGATCTGGCCTTCAGCAGGAGCAAACCACATCTGCAGAGTTTGGTAGAAAAGGAAATGTAGCTCTGGCCCCTAACGTGGAGATGTCCACATAGAGTCCACACAGCCCAGAACCTAGGGCAGTCTGGAGACTTCATTAGATCTGAATGATAACCGTAAAGAAAGGAAAGATGTGCACGTGCATGCACACACATATAAATACGTAACACACACCACACGTCCTCACATGTACACACACACACCAATGACATTTATAATAACCATTGAAGCTGAGGGATAGGTATGTTGGCTCAGTTTTTCTCCTCCTTTTTTTTTTCTTTTTCTTTCTCCAGACAGGGTTTCTCTGTGTAACGGCCTGGCTGTCCTGGAAATCACTATGTAGACCAGGCTGGCCTTCCTCTTCCTCCTGTGCTGGGATTAAAGGTGTGCACCAATGCTACCTAGCTTTTTTTTTTTAATTCCTACATATGTTTATGTTTTTCTATATGAAAGTAAAATAATGTCAAAAAAAAAAGAAGAAAATGAGGTTTTTTTTTTAAATGCTTGTATCAAATGCTTCATTTTTCTTAGATGTCATCAATTGTTCAAAAAAAAAGCCACATGATCATATTTGAATTACAAGCTTGCGGTACAGTTTTATGTTGTTAGGTTTTAGAAGGCTCTTGTTGTCTGGTTCTGAACAGCCTCACACTCCTGTGTGGTTCACTTTGTAGTTCACTCGGGATCCCCTGCCTTTGCTTCCTGAATGCCAGACTTCCAGGTATGTGCTTTCATGCCTGTTCACTTCGTTTTTTCTTGAAGTTTCTTGGCACCTTTCCCAATTCTTTTTGAGAGAAGAAGTGTGTGTTTCTTGACTCTAAGAGGAAGAGTTTCTTACACGATGTATTTCTTTGTCTTAACAGCATTATTATGGGAGCTTTCTGTTTTCTTGTTCTGATTGAAGTCGAATTCAGCTCCTACTATAAGGTTTCTTTCAGTTTGTGTTTGCACTGGTTATGTTGTTCTTTGGTAACTATGTATCTCAGACTCGAATCCACAGAGGCAGTACCTGCAACAGTGTATTTGTTTCCTGTTACTGTTACAAAATGCCTGAAGCTGGTTGTTTTATAAAGAAGTTTGTTTAGTTCACAGTTCTGGAGCTTCAAGAATGTGGTGCTGTTTGCAAACGGTTCTGCTGAGGACTTCCAGGCAAATGGCCTCACAATGATAGGAATACAGGAGAGGGAGCGATCACCTGGAAAAACAGAAAGCCAGAGTGACTTGGGGCTCAGGCTCTGGCTTTTACATATAACAACACACTCTTTGGAAATCTAAGTAATTTAAGGTCCTATAAGAAATTCTTCAACTTTTTTGAGAACGATGATCTAACCACCCCCACTAGGCCTCATCATCTCCCAACATGGCCACACTAGGCAACCAACTTCCCTATCTTGAACCCTTGGGGAACACCCTCAAACCACATAGGAACCATAGGAAGGGACGATAGTGAGGGGAGCTGAGGACATGGTAACAGGGGAGGAGGGTGAGATGGAAGACAGAGCTAAGATGGAAGTATTTTCTCCTGGAGACAAGCTTCAGCCTGGTCCTGAGAAATTCTAGTTTGTCACACCTGGAGACAGGGCCAGTGGCAGTAGCAGGCCTTGGAGAACCGGCCCAGTGGGGGTCTGATTGATCCATCAGTGCCAACCCCAGCACCATCCACACCTACCCACAGATCTCAGACCTGACTAGCACCGCTTTGCCTAGAGAGCTTGCTCAAATGCAGGTGGCTGGGCACACTTCCACAGTTTCTGACTCAGAGGGGTGGGGGAGCTGAGCATATGCACTTCTAGTATGTTCCCAGGTTCTCCCAGAACTATACTTTCCAAGCAACAGATTCCTCTCCTTTGCTTTCTTTAATGTTATTGTTGCTGTAATAATAATTAATAATAATGATTTATTATTATTATTATTATTATTATTATTAATGTGTTTGTTTACTTGGTATGTATGTTTGGGCATGCACACTCATGCAATGGTCCATGTGTGAAGGTTGGAGGGAACTTGGAGAAGTCAGTTCTCTCAAACTCTGTAGTGTCTAGGATCGTCAGGCTTAGGGACAAGCACCTTGATCTGACGAGCCGTCTTTCCTGCCCTTTCCCCTTGTTTTCCGGGACTACAAACTCAAGGGAACTTTTGCAACTAGAGCCTAAGTGGAGCTAAATAGAATGGTGCACCTTCAATCCCAGTATTTGAGAATCAGAGGCAGGAGGATTTCTCTGAGTTCAATGCTAGCCTGGAAAGAGAGAGAAAGAGAGAGAGAGAGAGAGAGAAAGAGAGCCACTGCCCAGCTCCTTTTTTTTTTTTTTTTTTTTAGGGTTTTGAAACAGTGCACCATCAGCCCAGGCTGGTATTGAACTTGAAATGTGGCAGAGGAAAGCCTTGAACTCCTGACCTTCCACCTCTAGTCACCCAAGTGCTGGGATTATAGTGCTGACTTCCTCTATATGTTTATTTACTCATTTAGATCACTGTGGGTTCATGTTTATTTATTTTAGACTTTGGGTTCTAGCCCAAGACATTATTCATTTTATTGCTCAAATTGTTCCACTGCTGGCTGTTGAGAATTTGTTCCATTTGGTTCCTGAATCCTGCTAACACGCCTCACCCTAAGTTTTGCTTCCTGGCAATTGCCTCTAAATGTTTAAAAATCATGCTTTTTTTTGTTTGAGCCCTCCTATTTTTCATTTCTCTGAAACCTTATGTTATCAGATTGATCCTTTTTATTAGCAATTCTCTCTGGTTTTGTGGATGCAGGATAATAACATCTCAAAGTTTCTAGTCATAATATCAGGAGTAGTGAGTTCAAGGCCAACCTGGGCTATGTAAAATCCTGTTTCAAACAAACAAACAAACAAACAAACAAACAAAAAACAAAGAAAAGCAGCTTTAATTTTTTCTGCTTTTAGCCATTGTAGCTTGTACCAAAATGTCATTAATGTGTATATACTTCAAGCTACATAGACCAGGCTAGCCTCAAACTCATAGAGACCCGCCTGCCTCTGTCCTCTGAGTCCTGAGATCAACGATCCACACCACCACACCATAGCTTTGCTTTTAGAATGCCGTGAGTTTGAGTTATAGTTGCATGTGTGCTTGTAACTAAGTTTTCCAGGCTTTGGCTTAAGAAAAATTCTGATAATTTAAATCCAGTGGTGCCAGCTGTGGTAAGGTGCAGCTGTGATCTCAGTTGTTCAGGAGGCCGAAAGTGCATTTATTTATTCATTGTGTGTGTGTGTGTGGGGGCATCTATGCACACCACAGCGCACGTGGAGGCCAGAGGACAACTTTCAGGACTCGGTGCTCATCTTCTACCCTGTGGGTTCTGGGGGTGGAACTCAGGCCATCCGACTTGGCAAGTGCCCTTACTCTATGAATCATCTTGCCCGCCCCCAACTTCTTGTATTTTTATTTTGTTTTATTTTTTACTTTTTATAGTTCAAGGATTAAACACAGGACTTTACACATGCTAGGCAGTCCCTTAACACTGAACTCCACTCCAGTCTCAGTGTTTTGTATTTAAGGACTACATACAATGTATCTTCTTATTACAATCAGAAGAGGCTGTATGAACTGCAACATAGTAATCTCACTGACGACCCAACTGCAACATAGTAATCCCATGGACGACAAGCTTGTAGCTATTATTCTCTATTTTAAAACCCCATAGTCAGGCATGGTGCAGATGCCTATAATCCCAGCATTTGGAAATGGCTCAAGAGGATCAGGAATTCAAGGCCAGCCTTGACTACATAATACCTTGTCTCAAAAGCAAAACTAAAAAAAACAAACAATCCCCACAAAAGAAACCCAACTCAAACCAAACCAAAATAGAAACAAACTTTTAACCCCACAAAAATGTTGTTATTTTGGCATGTAACAGTTCCAAGTGTATAAGGTTGACAAGATGGGTATAGGGTTGACAAGATGGGTCAGTGAATCTGGCTAGTAAAGGCACTTACCTTATCAGCTGGGATGGAGATGTAGTGCAGTGTTCGAGCACTTGCCTGGCATGTGACAGGTCTGGGGTTCAATCCCCAGCCTGCAAAACAAATAAAACACATCTCAGGGACTCAGGCTTATTTTTCTCTGTTGTGGAATATTAGTTTAAGATGTGTTACATTCATTTATGCTGTGGAATATTTGTTTAATGATGCAAAGATGTGTTGTATTCTTTTATGTTGCATTTGTTTAATTCTGTGAAGCTATGTTACTTTGACTGTCTAAAACACTTGATTGGTCTAATAAAGAGCTGAACGGCCAATGGCTAGGTAGGAGAGGGATAGGCAGGGCTGCCAGGTAGAGAGAATAAATAGGATGAGAACTCTGGGTTTGAGAGAAAAGGAAGAGAGGAGAACAGCAGGGGCCAGCCACCCACCCACCCAGCCAGCCATGAAGTAAGAAGGAAAGAAAGATACATAGAATAAAGAAAGGTAAAAAGCCCAGAGGCAAAATGTAGTTAAAGAGAAATTGGATAATTTAAGTTAGAAAAGAGGTCTAGAAAGAAGCCAAGCTAGGGCCGGACATTCATAAATAAGAATAAGTCTCTCTGTATTTATTTAGGAGCTGAGTGGCAGGCCCCCAAAGAGTAAAAAACAAAACAAACAAACAAAAAAACTTTTTTTTTTTTTTTTTTTTTTTTTTGGTTTTTCGAGACAGGGTTTCCCTGTGTAGCTTTGCGCCTTTCCTGGAACTCACTTGGTAGCCCAGACTGGCCTCGAACTCACAGAGATCCACCTGGCTGTGCCTCCCAAGTGCTGGGATTAAAGGCGTGCACCACCACCGCCCGGCGAAAAAACTTTTTTTTAAGACAGGGTTTCTCTGTGTAACCCTGGCTGTCCTGGAACTCATTCTGTATACCAGACTGTCCTCTGCCTCTCAAATACTGGGATTAAAGGAGTATGCCACCATCACCCTACTGGGACTCCTTGGACATTGTGTGTGCCTGCATATGTCATACACACCCCAAATAAATAAAATGTAATAAAACAAATTAAACAAAATACTTAAGTCTTTTGGTTGTTTATACATTATCCTTTCCAGAAATCTTTGCTCACCCCTAAACTTCTATCCTTTTTTATTGTTTTATTTTTGTTTTCTGAGACAGAGTCTGTCTATGTAGCCCTGCTGGCTGTCCTGGAACTCTCTATGTAGAGCAGACTGACCTCAAACTCACGGAAATCTACCTGCTTCTGTCTCCTGCATGCTGGAATCAAAGGCATGAGCCACACTCATCTTTCTATTTTTTTTTTACATTAATTTTTTTTAAGATTTGTTTTATTTTATGTGTGTGGGTGTTTTGCCTAGATGGTTGGACATGCACATTGTGCACTCCTGGTGCCTGCAGAGACCAGAAGAAGGCATCAGATCCCCTGGAACTGGAGTTACAGATTGTTACGAGCCACCATGTGGGTGCTGGGAACTGAATTCAGGTCCTCTGCAGGAGCAGCACAAGTTCTTAACTGTGGAGTCATCTCTCCAGTTTGCTGTGGAATAATCCTCTTGTACACTGTAAAGATTTGTCACTTGAATTGGTTTAATAAAATGCTGGTTGGCCAGTAGCCAGGCAGGAAGTATAGGCAGGGAGACCAAACTAAGGATGATGGGAAGGAAAAGGGTAGAGAGCAGAGTCACCAGTCAGACCCAGAGGGAGCAGGAGATAAACATGCCATGCTGATAAAGGTACCACCACATGACAAAGCATTAATAGAAATATGGATTAATTTAAGTGTAAGAGCTAGCTAGTAACAAGCTTGAGCTATCAGCTAAGCATTTATAAGTAATATTAAGTCTCTGAGTCAGTTATTTGGGACTGGGCAGTTGGGACAAAAAATGTCTAATTACACCAGTCTCAAAGCTCTAGCCTTCTGTCTAATGTCATTCCTTTTCATCCTGAAGAGCTTCCTTGAACACTCTTCTCACTGCTAGTCTGAGGGTGAGGAATGGTCTCTGCTTTCATTTCTCTGCAGGCACATCTTGACTTAAGTGGGTCCACAGGATTTATTTGGGTTTTGGTTTGAGTACTGTAATGGTGGTATTCTATTGTCTTGGCCTCTTTGGCTTCTGAGAAGTCAAACCCAACTGGCTTGTTCTCTTTTTCTATTTGCTTTTTACCTTCTTATGGCTTTCAGGTTTTTCTCTTTTTCTGGCCTGCAGCTGCTTGACTATGGTGTGCTTGGGTATTTTCTTTTTTTGTTGTTTTTTGTTTTTGTTTTTGTTTTGTTTTTCAAGACAGGGTTTCTCTGTAGCTTTGGAGCCTGTCCTGGACTAGCTCTGTAAACCGGGCTGTCCTTGAACTCACAGAGATCCGCCTGCCTCTGCCTCCTGAGTGCAGGGATTAAGTGTGTGCCACCACTGCCTGGCTTTGTCAGCTATTTGTGAAGAGCATTCCTTTTGTTCTAGCAGGTAATTAAATCATGGGCTGGTCATCTTGAACTTGTGAATTTTTGAAAATGTTTTTCTTTTAGTGACTATTTCAATTTTAATTATTTGTTTTTAATGAACAGTTTAGAAAAGACACGTGTGATGGTGCATGCGTGTAGAAGGAAGCTTCTCTGTGTCCCGCCCAGCCTTGTGCTGGAATGAGTCTCTCCCACCCACGGTCCCGCAGCTGCTTATAAAATAATTACACAGAGGCTTATATTAATTGCAAACTGTATGGCCTATGGTTTCAGCTTCTTGCTAGCTAGCTTTTTCTTCTCAAATTAACCCATTCCTACTAATCTATATGTTGCCACATGGCCACGGCGTTGCTGGCCTGCTGGCATCTTCTTGCTCCCAGTCTTTTTTTTTTAAAAAAAAGTTCACAAGTTTCTTTCATTTAAAAATCTGCTATTGAGCCGGGAGGTGGTAGGAGGCAGGGGCAGGCAGATCTCTATGAGTTTGAGGCCAGCCTGTTCTACAGTGCTAGCTCCAGAACAGTCAAGGGTACACAGAGAAACCCTGTCTCAACCCCGCCCCCTCAAAAAACAACAACAACAAAAACAAAACAACCCACAAAAACAAAACAAAACAAAAAATTGCTATTGTTAATATTAAGATAGTCAAAATTGGAACAAATATTTAGTAAGTTTCTCGCATATATGAGCTGAAAAATGATAAAAAGATTCTGGGTTTATCTGTCTACCTACCTGTAATAGATACTGACTGATCTTAAGGACGCTTTGCTTTTTACTAATTGGTCTTTGAAGACATCTCTGTAGTGTCCCATCATGAGGCTTGTATCACCTTCAGCAATGCCAGTATTTTATGTTAAACAGGAAAACTCCAGCATTGTTTTCAGTGGGGACTGGAGTTCATAAATGAGCTGAAATAGCTCTGCATGTTGATGAGCTGCCCAGTCTCTGACTGAGCCTGCTTCCTCAGGGTGGCCTGCTGTCCTGGGCTTCCTTTCCACTCCCTATCTCCTGTTCCAGGCATTGGCCCCAGGTCTCTCTGGATTCCTCCCAGTGGCCGGCTCCTTTTTCCGATCAGGCTCCGCTGCTGCTGCTGCTGCTGCTGCTGCTGCTGCTGCTGCTGCGTGCCCTCCCCCTGGAATGCAGTTTATCTTTGGTTCCTCCCTTGCACTGCTCACACCTCCTCCTTGCTCTTCTTGCGTCTGCACTTCCTCTGTCCCTGTCTAATCTATTCTTCATATAAGAGCTGGAGTGATCTCAAAGCACATCTGAGCATGTCCCCATGCTGCGTAAAGCCTTTACAGCCTCTTTACTGGCCTCTGCAAGAAGATTAAACTCCTTACACACACACACATCACACACACCACCACCACCACCACCCACACCACACACACACACACACACACACACACACACACACACACACACACACACACACACCACCACATATATACACACACACACCACACACATATCACGCACACACACACACACACACATACCACACACACACCACTTACACACATACACCACACACACTATACCACACACACACACACACACACCACACCACACCACACCACACCATACCACACACACACACACACACACACACACACACACACCTTGACATGATGTGGTCTGCTTCCTACTCATTTCTCCAGCTTTGCTGGGAGGCACATAGGAGACAGAAGTCCCGGACTGGGTTGACATGGACTATAGCAGGCAAGGGACACTTCAAGGATGATACTCAGATATCTGGTTGGGCAAGTCAGAGAAGTTTCTAACTCTCAGCATCTCCAGGGAACATCAGTTAGCTGCAGATGCAGGGACCACACCTCCAACTTCCTCTGTCCCTCACTCTGCCTTTCAACTGCTTGAGCGAGCTTTGAGTCTGAGTCCTAGGTCTGCCTTTCATTTGCTTGCCCTCGGCTTAGCACTTCCTCCTTAAAGAACCCTGCTTTCTCTTCTAGAAAGCAGGAATTATTCCCACCCCTCCAGTCCTCCCTCCCTTTTTAATCAGAGGGGAAATTTATTTAAAGTGGCAACTTTGGGAAGAGGAACAGATAAAAGGGTCTAGCTAGGATTGACATGAAGAGGAATTGGGCCAAGAAGTCTGTATCAGCAAACAGGTCAAGGAATGATCTGGTGGATTTTGTAGGCTGTTTTGTTTTGAGACAGGGTCTCGTGCTGTAGCCCTGGCTGGACTGCTACCTGCTATATAGTTTATTGAGGCTGGCCTCACACTAAGGCCTCACACAATCTTACTCGGTCTCTCAAGTGCTGGGATTACAGGTGTGTACTACTGTGTCTGGCACTTGTGAGTGTGGGTGCACTTGCCTGAATGCACATTGGATACCAGAGGTTGACTTTATATATCTTCCTCTATGCGTTTTTTTTTTTTTTTTTTCAAAAACATTGCTTGAGGGGAGGGGGCAATGTAGACATGCCACAGTGTGCATGTGGAGGTCAGAGGACAGCTTGTAGGAAGGAGTTCTCTCCTTCCTCCATGTGGGTCCCCCAGGGACTGAATTCAGATAGTCAGGTTTGGTAGCAAGTACCCTCACCTGCTAAGCTATCTTGTCAGCCTAGGCTCATTAAAGAGAGAGAGAGAATGAGAACGAGAGCGAGAACGAGAGCTCAAGAGAGAGACACAGAGAGATTTATTTTTATTTTAAATTATGCTTATGCATGCATGTCTATGTGTGGGTATGCTTATCAGTGCAGTTCCCTGCTGAAGCCAAAAGAGGACATTAGATTCTCTGGAGCCGGAGTTAACGGCATTTATGAGCTTCCTGACATAGGTACTGGGAACCAAACTCCCATCCTCGGCAAGGGCAGCACCTGCTCTTAAGTACAGATCTGCTGTGGGGTGTCTTTCTGTATGCTGTGAATATGCATTGCTCTGACTGGTTGATAAATAAAGCTGCATTGGCCTATGGCAGGGCAGGATGGAGCCAGGCAGGAAAATCCAGGAGAGATAATGAAAGGAGAAAGGAGAGTGAGGGGAGACACCAACTCGCCGTCCAAGGAACAACATGTAATGGGACACAGGTAAAGCCATGGAACACATGGCGATACATAGATAAATAGAAATGGGTTAATTTAAGATGAAAGAGCTAGCTAGCAAGAAGCCTGCCATAGGCCATATAGTTGGTAATTAATATAAGCCGCTGAATGATTATTTTATAAATGGCTACGGGACTGTGGGGCCAGGTGGGACCAGAGAAACTTCTGCTACACAGATCCATTTCTCCAGTAGGCTCATTTTATTTTTAAATACAAAAAAAATTATTAGGAGCTGGGAATGTAGCCCACTTGGAAAAATACATGCCTAGCATACAAAGCCCTGTGTTCGATCCCCAGGAATGCATAAACTGGATGCAGTGGTACCTACCTGTCATCCCAGCAGCAAGAAAGTGGAGACAAGTGCATCAGAAGGTCAAGGTCATCTTTGGCTACACAGTGAGTGAAAGGCCAGGCTGGGTTACAATAGACCCTGTCTAAAAAAGTTTTAAGCCGGGCGGTGGTGGCGCACGCCTTTAATCCCAGCACTCGGGAGGCAGAGTCAGGCGGATCTTTGTGAGTTCGAGGCCAGCCTGGGCTACCAAGTGAGTTCCAGGAAAGGCACAAAGCTACACAAAGAAACCCTGTCTCGAAAAACCAAAAAAAAAAAAAAAAAAAAAGTTTTAAAAGGAAAGAAGTTATGGTTATGGGTGGGAAACTGAAGACACGTAACAGGCCTGAGTGGCGCATGGCTGGAGGTGGCTGTTTCCTGGGGGCCTCAGTAGTGGAATCCATTTGCCTTTTAGGAACATCTCTCTGGTGGAGGATGCATATCAAGTAGGTTGAGACAGGAAGGGTGGAACTTCCAGTTCTCTGGACCGTGACTTCTCTTGTTTGAGGAAGGGGCCTGCCTGAGTGTTGAACAGACTCTGCCCTCAGCCTCCAAGTCATCCTGAACCGTCCACTCTGCACACAAGCCTCTGAGCAAGTGCAGCTGGCTCTACCTATGAAGTGAATGGGAAGTGTCCCCCACAGGCTCTGGCATTGGAATCCTTGCCCCCAAGTGATGGTGTTGTTTGAGGAGGTCTGGGAGGTGTGGCCCTGCTGGAGGAAGTAGGCACTATGGATGGGCTTTGAGGTTTCAAAATGTCACACCACACCCAGTGTCTTTTTTTCCCCCCCCTTTGACACAGGGTCTCTCTACAGAGCCCTGGCAAAGTCCTGGAACTCACTATGTAGACCAGGCTGGCCTCGAACTCACAGAGATCCACTTGTCTCTTCCTCTTGAGTGCTGGGATCAAAGCACATGCCACCATGCCCAGCTTGCTAGTGTGCTTTTTGCTTCATGCTGTTAGATGTGAGCTCAGCGTCCTGCTCCAGCCACCATGCCTCTGCTCTGCCCTCATGGAGTCTCATCCCTCTGGAACCATCAGCCAAAGCCAACTCTCCCTTTAGTTGCCTTGGTCGTGGTGCTTTATCACAGCAACAGGAAAGTATAGTACAGCCTCCAAGTGCAGCATGAGTCCTTTACTCTGTATTTCCTGGGCCACAGCTCTAGTCCAAACCACTGCAGTACCAGGATACTGTACCAAGGGGGCATGCGGCCTCTGCTCTTGCCTTGTCTCACATCAGCCCCATCCAACACCGTGCAGCACAACCTTGGGAAATGTAAGCTGGACTGTCACCTGCATGCCAACCTCTCAACATTAGGACACAACATTGTCATCTACCAAGTTCACACAACAGAAATGCACCGTCTAATCACACAAAAATCTCATAATAGTTTAAAGAAGTTTGTGCTTTTGTGTTGGGCAACATTCATGGGTATTCTTGGCTGAATGTAGCCCATGGGCCAAAGGTTAGACACAGCGAAGCCCTAAACCCTCTCTTTAAATTGGCTTCCTGTGCACCTCACCCCTAATTAGGAGACCTGTGTCATCTGGCTGCTGCCTGCCTTACCTGCACCCACTCTTCTTGTTTACCAAACCCAGACACACCCTCCTGGTTCCTTGCTGGTCCTTCAGAGGCAGCCCTCCGTGTCACTGGCTTCTTGGTGCAGGTTTCTGCCCAAAGATCACTTCTTGGGTGACCTTATCTAAGAACTTTAGTCCCAACCACTATGTTTTGTTTCTTTCATAACACTTATCACTAAAACTACATTGTTGACAGGGAGGTCTCATGACTACTTTTGCAGTTTTATGAATTTTGATTATTAAATGAATACGTTTTTTTTTTTTTTTTTTTTCGTTTTTTCGAGACAGGGTTTCTCTGTGTAGCTTCGCACCTTTCCTGGAACTCACTTTGTAGACCAGGCTGGCTTCGAACTCACAGAGATCCGCCTGGCTCTGCCTCCCGAGTGCTGGGATTAAAGGCATGCGCCACCGCCGCCCGGCTTTGAGTGAATGCTAAGTGCTTTCCTTAGGCCTGACAGATAAAAGGAAAGTGTCTTCTTTACCCCCCCCCCTCCATTCTAGAGCCCTCCCTGGACTGAAAGCTCTGTCCTATCTGCTGCTGACCTGTAAATTCCCCAGAACCACAACTGGCACAATAAACAGTCATTGAATAAACAGTAAGCTGAATTCTGGCCCTGCTCTGTGTTAGCGTCCCTTGGAGGAACGCTGGAGAAAGGGAGCTTAGGGGCCAAGGTCAAGAGCAGGCTGTGGATTTGGGCTAGCTACTTAGTTTCTCTAAGCACCAGCTGGCTCATTCATTCCGGAAAAGGCAACAGAGGATCTAGCTCACAGACCTGCAAGCACCAAGTAGCACCAGGCACACCCCTACCCCTTCGTGGGGTTTGTAGAAGGGATGCATGCACTTGACATCTTGCATGTTGACTCCACCATCCACCAATCTCTTCAGTGTCCCTCAGCGTTTAGAGCCTTGCTTTCCAAAGCCAGTCCAAGAAGCACTCCGTGGGGGTGGGGGCTACCTGGAACCATCTGGTGCATCTTTCTGAACTGCTTGTTTTACTGGGAAGTAGTCTAAAACATTGCTTGTTATAGTAACATAACCACAGATACTTATTGAGTAGGATGAAGAATTTGTCTGAATGCTTTGAGAATTAGCACTGGGCACTGTACTGATAGCCTCAGGCTTGGAGGAAGTCTATGTGGAGAGACCAGGCCTCTCCATTAGTTAAGGGCCTTTTGGGCTCACAAAGTGAGCTTCCTGCTATCAACAGAGGACTCGATTCTGTTCCTTTCAAGATCCTCGACTCCTGTAGAAGAAACAGGTGGCTTTCTGTTCTGCCCTGGTTGGGGCAAGGGAAGATCGCAGGGGCAAAGAAAAGGCAGGTGAAAGTTCCAGACCTTAATCTATTTTCTCCTAGCTCTTATCATTGCCCAGATGTGGACCACCCTGCCTGCCCATTAGCCTCTACCCACCCCTCCCCAATCTGGACATAATTATAGTCATTATCCTAGGATATTATTACCAACTCTATAAACAGCACACTCTGTGTAAACAGTATAGGTAACTGCTTCTGCATGTAATTACAGGAGATGTTTCCAGAGCCGCAATTGCATCTGAGTAAATGATAGCTTCCTTTCCTATCATTAATACTCCGATATTAGGGACCTATCAGGGCCAATTAGTCAAACCCCAGCAGTGAGGGGGTGAGAAAGACCTCACATTATCCCACTGTCTGCAAAGCAAGAAGGTACCCCTCAAGATCCTTGCTAGGAGAAAATGGATTAAAACCCAGAACCCTTACCTACTCCTCCTTAGCGTTTGGGTTCCACCCTCTCACCCCTCACCTGCTGCTTCTACAGTAGTAGGAACTTGAGGAAAGTCAAGATTTCCAAGGATACCAAGAAAGCCGAAGACAGTAGGCTCTGCTGGACACGACTGTATTCAGGTGCCCACCCACAAGAACAAGTGAGTCCCTTCAACCTGTGGACAGGTCACCTGCTGGTTTTAGGACCCAGCCAATACGCATGAAATGGGCTCTGAGATGGCTGGAATCTAGAGTCACCATTGCAGGCAACCACCCTAGGCCTGGGTGCTATCAACGATGATGCTACCGGCCACCAATGGGTCGGCTCTCTGTCCCTTCCTTATCTCCAGCTCTCACCGCTTCCTCTTTCGGCCTGCCCCTCCCGTACCCTTTCCACTCTCATCAGCTCTCCAGAGTTGCAGTCCGCTGCCCGCCCCCACCCCTTCTTCCTGTCCCCGTTGTGCTGTTGGGTGGTATCTCTCCAGAAGGGCGGGGGCGGGGAGGGTGGAGCAAGGGCGAAGGCCTGGCTAGGCTTCTGGAATCTCTCGCTGTCCTCACGCAGGGGCGCCGCTGTGGCTGGGCCTCGGAGTCTGCGGATTTTCCGCTTTCATCTACCCGCGGACACAAAGGCCAGCCCTGGCGTGCGCGGGAGACGCGCTCGCACCCACGGCTGTGCGCACACACGCACAACTGCACAAAGACGTGCACACCTCGGCATACACACACACACACACACACACACACACACACACACACACACACACACACACACACACACACACGTACACACAGACACTTTCCCGACAGCCTCGCGCGAGCAGCCGTGCACACTGACTCGCACTGGCACGCGCTCGCGTGCACGCGCTCGCGTGGACCAGCCGCGGTCGGCCGCCCAGTTTTTACTCTCTGGGCGCGCACACGCAGAGCCGCGCACGGAGCCACACACGCGCGCTCACACCCGCACGCTCCACGCCCCTGGCGGCGGCCGGGGCGCTGTGCTGCTCGAGCGACGGGCGGGGACCCGGGCGGGGGCGGCGGCGGCGGCGGCGGCGACAGCAGAGGAGGCGGAGCGGGGTAGCCGGGAGCGGGCTGGCCCGCGCTCCTCCTGGCGGCCGGGGATTTTCCAGCCTGGGCGCTGACGCCGCGGACCTCCCTGCGGCCGCCGCGGACCTCCCTGCGGCCGCCGCGGACCATGGGCGACAAAGGGACACGGTGAGTGCGGGTGGCCGCCCTGCCTCGCGCGCGCGTGGGGACGACCTGGGCGAGGGCACGGGCGGAGGTTCCAATCAGCGTCACCCGGGATCTGGCACTCTGTTCTCCGCCCAAGTCTCTTGTGTGGTCGCTAGCCAGAACCATGTGTAAGGACCGAGGCAGCCAGGGTGGGCCACCCCCTGTGGCTCACGGCTCCTGGCTGAGACGAGCTCTCACACACCCTGCACTGGCCGGCAGATTCGAGGACGCTCCGGGGCGGGCTGACACACTACACACATGCTCATGGACACAGGAGCACCCTCCTGCTGGCACACACCGACAGCACTGCCACACTTCGCATTTGTGACACGACGACGTCACACACGTTCTCTCTCTCACGCGCGCACACACTCGTCTGTCAACACATTCTTGCTGACAGTCCTGTTAGCATACACAGGTCCCACTAGAACACGCACCAGCTCTAACACACCCTCATGTTGCTGCACACATGTGGACATACACCAACACACATATCCTGTCACTTGGGTGCTGCAAAGCACGCTCTGGCTGGTGCACGCAGTCTGTCAACCCTCTCTGACGCGACACCGACATGACATGATGTAGCCACATGTCTTAGAGACACACCAGCGTTCACCACACTGCACGTCAGTGTGGTGACATCCATCCCCCGCCGGGGTGGGGGGTGGGTGGGTGGTTGGATACACTCACTCCTGACTCCCCATGGCAGGACTGGAAACACAGGTCACAGAGTGGAGGTCTGTCTGGGGCCTGGAAAGGCAGGTCCCTTTCACATGGCTTCCTTCCCCTCTGACCTCCAAAGCGCATAGCTGGGAGCTACAAGCTGAGGGAAGTGGGGGAACTGTTTTGGAGAGCCTCCCTTGAAAGGAGAGGTTGGGCCCTCAGAATGGAAGTAGGAGGGCTAGGGGTGGGGCAGGGAAGCTCTTGGGGTTGGACCTAAACCAACCCCGGACAGGCTTCTACCATTTCACCTTCCTGGCCCCTGAACGTCTCACTGCGGTCCTGCCTGGCTCCTCCTTCCTGCACCTGCTGGTTTTCATTGCTGTCCTTATCACTCTTACCTTTGTGTCCTTCTCTCTGCCTTTACCTCCTTTCTTCCAATATTTATTCAGCCCCTGTTGTATACTAAAAATAGCATAGGGGATCCGAGATGATCAGAGAAGGAACATCCCCGTTGTCACATGCTGGGACCCTTAAACAAATTGATTTTTCCATCACTGCCAGCTGACACTCTTGGCCGTGTGTGAAAGGGGCTCCAGAGGTAGAAACTGAGGCATTGAGGTAACTCAGACACCTCGTGTTTAGAAACTGCTTCCCACCAGCCTCTCTACAGAGGCTCCTCCAGGAGGTTAATTTTCCTTTTCTGGTTTCCCCAAAGAGGAACCAAAGGATGAGAAATGTCTCTTGGCTTGCTTAAAGGTCAAGAGGGGGCAGAGGCCAGAAACCACTGTGTCTGTGGCTCTCCTTGGGCCACTAGGCACTGTGTGGACCTCTGGTGTGAGGACTAGCAGGGTCCCGGCACTGTACAGAGGCATGGCCTTGGGAGACTGCAGGGGGTCATGAAGTGTTTGCATTCACCTTGAGGCCCAGCCCCTAGCAGCTGGCTGCCCAACACTGTGACCCAGGCCTCCGTCCTTGGAGGAAGGATGTGAGACTCTCTCTTCAGCCACATCCATCTCCCCTTGCAAACCCTCCCGACCTGTGAGGTCAGGCCTTGCTCTGGCAGGGCATAGCAGGAGTCAGCGGCCATCCCTTCTCCTTTGTTCTGCTATGCTGCTGGTGACCAGGGTGACTCAGCCCTGCTGGGCCTCTCCGTAACTAGGGGAGAATTGTCACATGCCTCCCTGATAGCACGAATTGTCACAGGATGAGGACACTGTGGGCTGCCGGACACCTGTTGGAGAACATGTCTGAGGCCAGAGCTTTGTCCTTGACTCCCTCTGCTCTGCTTCTAACTCAAGGGCAAGCCTAGTATTCCCCTCTGTAAATTGGAGCAATCAGAACTTTGGTTTTCATGGTTCCCATGAGCTTACTGAGTTCACTGGACTTAGGAGCAGGAGCTGCCTAGGCCTGGAAATATGGTCTGACTAGACAAACTCCACCTGTCCCCGCCTGTCCTCCCTGCACCCCCCTCCCCATCCTCGAGAACTTCAAATTCTGACACTCCCTTTCTAGACCTACCTGGATAAGAAAGGCAAAATCACAGAGACGTTGACCATTGTGTTCCATCAGCCGTGAGACTTCACTTTGTGAATTGGAAAGGACATTGCAAATACCCAACACTCAGGCTCTGGAGTCTTCACGTCTATCCATCTGTCCCAAATTTCACCTACAGAGGAAGTGATAATGAACATTAATCAAAACTGTCACCATCCTCTGGGAGCCCCCTGGGTTGAGAGAGAGGAGCAACAGGACAGGAACATGCTAGCTCTAAGATGGAGGCCCAACAGCGGTCCCAGCGGTCCCAGGAGCACAGGTCCAGTCCTTAAACAAGTGACTTCTTGGTACCCTGGGGCTGGAGTTTCCAAAGGTGAATCCCCAGCAGATCCATCCCCAGGTGCGTGTGATGCAGGGCACAGCACTGTGGCGGGCAGAAGAGGAGTCCCCACCAGAGCTCTGGGCTGTGTGTGGCCTGAAGCTGTCCCGGGTAGTCAGAGCTGCTGAGATTTACCTAGAAGCCTGAGGAGGTTGAAGAAGGCAACCTGAGCACCCTGCCAGGCCTGGAGATGTGAAAGCTGGCCTGCAGCCTAGGGGTGGGTTCCAAGAGGTGAACACTGGCCTGTCATCCCCAGCCTGGGACTGACAGGCTGCGGGGACAGCATCTTTCTCCCAACACCAGGGTCAGCTGAAAGGAGAGGGTGGGGTGATGGAGGGACAGGCATGAATCTTCTTCCTCTTAGACCTGGAAGGGGGAAGAGGAGGCCTAGAGGTAGAGAGAGACACTCTAGGAAGAAGCTTCAGAACTAAGGCTACGGGGAGGATGGGGCTGATCAACAGCATATGGACAAGGAAGTGGGACCTAGAAAACTAGATGGTTGATTGGACCTTTGCTGCCTGTCTGGTGTTAGAATTATGTTCCTAGGGGCTGGGAAGATGGCTCCAGAAAGGTCTGCTGCTTAAGCATGAGGCCCTGAGTTTGGATCTCCAGAACCCACATACAAGCTGGGCATGGCGGTCTCGAACCCTAGTACTGGGGGTTGGGGGTCAGGAGGGGAAGGGCTGTGGAGACAGGCATGTTGCTGGAGCTCTCTGGCCAGCCAGCCCAGTGCCCAGGTTTAGCAAGAGACTGTCTCAAAACAGGGTGGAGAGTGTCTGAGGAAAATACCAGATATGAACTTCTGGCCTTTACATACATGCACATACATGCACATCGGCACATATACAAGAAATATGTGCATAATCTCATTGTATTCCTCCCACAGTTTATTAGCATAGAAATTGCTGCTCCCATTTTAAAGATATGAAATAAACTAGGAGAGAGGAAGCATGTCTACCACCATTCAGACAACTAGCATCGGAACAGAAGTCTCTGTGTCCATCAGGTCCTCTCTGCTACTGTATACTCAGAAGGAAAGGGGCTTGTCCTATCCACAGCTGGCCTTTCAACTGCCCCCAGCTGGTCCTACTAACGTGAAAAGTGACCCGAGGGATCATCTTGAGGCAGCAGGAGGGATGGAGTGGAATTTCCTTTGCTGCAGATGCTGATAAACTTTCCCCCTGTATGTCCCCCCTACTCAGCCCCGGGGAGGGAGGGTGGCTGTAATGGGACTTGCAATCACCAGCTCTCTGTGAACCTTGGCTGTCTTTCTTGAGGTGGTTAAGCCCTGGGTGACCCTTCTTGGCTAGAACATAGGGAAGTCCTGTGGCTTTGGCAGGAGTGTTCCTGGGTTGCTGCTGGGCGTGGCGGTGAGCCTGGCCCAGTGTCCCTGATTCCCAGCTGGCCTCTGGGCTACAGACTCCTTTGATGGCTGGTTTCCTTTCAAGTCTGGACCTCCTGGCCCGAGACTGAAACCTCTGCTTGGCATGGAGTCAGGGGTCCTTAGTTGTGGGCTTGCCTCCTCTAGGGCCGTTCTTTCACACAGGCAGTGTTGGTTGAAGACGGCAGCAGGGAGATTCAGAGTGGCCTCTTGACCTCCACTGGGCTATCCATTCTACTGCTTGCTGGGGTGACGCGCTGGCTGTCTAGCTAAGGTCCGCGTGGGTGGCAGGGGAGCCAGGAGTGGGCTGAGCAAGATGAGGGAGGCTTTGACAGGTTCCTCTGGACCTCAGGCTAGGGACAGGGGGCAGGTGGGGGCTTGACAGTCTTCTGAGTGGACACTTGGAGGATATAGATGACCTTGGTGTCGGGAGAAGGGAGAACGTGACAAGGTGGCAGGGACAGCAGAGCCTTGCAGAGCCCCGGTGTGGGGGGTGGAGAGAATCAGCAGACAGCTGAGAACAGCTGGGGCCTGGAGTCCCAGAAGCAGCAAAGGACGACAGAGGCCAGAGGAGGGGCAGCCGCAGGATCCTCCTGTGTAGCCAGGTGGTGGATGGGAGTCTGGGGTTTGGTGGAGTGGTGAGGCTGCACATGAACACAGTAGGCAGAGGAGAAAGGAGTAGCCTCTGCTTTTCTATGTGCCTTCCAGAACTCTTGGTCACAAAGCACTGAAATCAGTGAGGGCTTCCCGGAAGAATCCAGGTCTTGTGGGGTGGAAAAAAATGCACTGTGGTGTGTGAGCTGGCCGGGGCAGGCATGCTCCCGGAGTGAGGGTCCTCTGACTCCAGTGGAGGTCTGGAAGAACTTCCTGGATCAGGTGACACTGAGCTGGGTGCTGGATCTCGAGGAAGGCCTAGGTGGTAGGAGGGTGCCTTGGACAGAAAGAAGAGCCCGTGCCAAGGTGTGGACACCAGCTCAGGTGGGGGACTGTGAGGGTAAGGCTGAGAGGGGTGCCAGCTCGGGCCTGAGGCACTGGAGGAACTGAGGAACATGGCATAGTCTGGGG